AACAATAGCCTGCAAATCTTAATGGCGTAACACAACTAAGATTTACTTCTAACCTCTGCAAAGTCCACTGGGAGTGTCCTCCAAGGGGCGGTTTGGCAATCTGTGCTGTTCCCATCTCAGCTCAGTTCCTCCGTCTCCCCACAAAGCCCTTTGGCCACAAGTGAGAAGAGACTGTGGGGCAACCACGTACCAGCTCTTCTTTGCTTTGCCCCTTTGTTACTTCTGCCCACGGTCCTTTGGCCAGAACTTGGCCTAGTAACTGCCTGAAAGTTGGGAAGTGTGGGGCTCCAGATGGAATGTTCCGTGAGCACCACTGTCTCTGCCAATCTCCTTTCATACTTCCTCACCCTCAGGCAGCCTGTGGTGCCCCCAGGGGACTGGGCAGAACTGCCAGCCACTCTAAAGAGAAACTACTATGGAACAATCAAAGTACAGTAGGGTGCGCTCTAGAGAGCATCTAGATCTACCTGCTCCTCTTCCTCATTTTATAGATGATTAAAGTACAGCCCAGAGACGTTCAGGACCCAAGTCAAGGTTGCACAGCAAGTTATCAATAGCTGCAGGGCTGGCCCCAGTCAGGGTCCCCAGGGCCACCTCGTTCAGCGTTCAGCACTCCTATCCCTACACCCTCTCATAGCCTTGTCCCAAGGGGCAGCTTGGGAGGGCAGGTGGAGGCCTGAGAGCTCACTGGGGCTGTGCAGCTCGGGGTTCTAGGGCCCAGTCCTGGCCAGCCTCCGTTGTCTGACTCCATTCATCCTCAGCATGATGGCCAATTAGTTAGCATGCGCCATTATATGGCCTTAACAACTACTTTAGATGCAGCCAACACGGGCGTCATGTGGCAGCTGCGATGGACGACAGCAGCAGTTGTAATTAGCAGAGAAATCGGGGAAGGACAAATGTGAGGCTTTTATAGTCAAGCAGACCTCAGAATTGAAATAACTCTGCTAATTGTGCTTCGTGTCCTTATTAACATGACTTCAGTTAGTAAATAATGAGCCCCTCTCGGCGAGTTTCTCTCCCCATCGTCTTTGGTGGCTGAGAATAAGAATGAAAAGAGCGAACCCTCATTTATTGACCAACGACTGTGTGCCAGGCACGATTCTGACTGCTTTATGTGTGTCAACTCATTTGATTCTCAAGAAACTGAGGCAGCGAATGGCAGGGTTTCTTGCCCAAGGTCCTGCAGCAGTAATGGAACAAGTGGTCAATTCTCTTAACCCCTGTGTTCTGAGAACCAAGCTGGGTCTTCCTGTAAGGCGGGGGTTTTGCTCCTGGCATCCTGGAGATCCCAGGGGAATGTGGAGAGAATTCTGGGGCTCTGTGAACTTGGATGCGAAAAAGTAACATCTTTATTTTCCCTAACCTTTAACTGCAATTGAGTATTTCCCTTCATTAAGAATGTAGGCAACGAACCACAGTAGAATTAGCAGTACTGGGGATTTGTCATCAATAGAAATCATAGGCATTTTCGTATCATATCACCATTGTTCTAATATCTTGAAAAACAATTTTTGCTCAGCACTACTTCCTGCCACTAGGTCTTATCACTTAATGCATTGATAAAGAGCCTCATATGTTATTAGAAGCGCACATTTATTTTTAAAAATCTTTTGAAAATAACAACTATTTTGCTATAATTGATTTCCTTTGCAATTCTATATACTTTGTTTTATGCTTTTAAAGGTGGGATCCCATGGGCTTCACCAGACTGCCAGAGGCAGGCAACCACAGTGCAAAGAAGGCCACGGACTCCTCTGAGAGGGTCTCTCTGAGCCTCACTCACTTGCTCCAGAAACCATTTCACTGAAGTGAGCGAGTGAGACCCTGGTGGACGCTCTTCCCACTGTGTATGGAGCTACTGGCAATTCCTTGAATGTGCCAATGCTTTCTCTTCCATACCTTTGTTGCCCCTGCCTGATCTATGGCAACCCTACCCCACCCCATCACCTGGCTTCTTGGGTTTATTCAAGATACTGGAGAGCAGTACCTCCACCCCTATCCGGGGAGGCCTCCCTAGTCTTCCAGGCCAGCTTAGGTGGCCTCCCTTCCTTCCACAGAGTAAGTAAGGGTAGTATTTATCGCATTAGATTGGCTTAAAAAAATTAACTATGATGGAGCACTTTGGAGAGGCAGGCTTTTGGCACACAGGGTGCTGGCTAGAGGCTTGGCTCTGGGAGCTATGGGCACCTGCACAGCTTTCTCCTCTGGATGAAGATGTGGCTCTATTAGTGCTGGGTTAGCTTTAAAAAGAATCTATAGAGTGTTTGTGAATGCCCTGAAATGAGTCCAAAGATGGTCATGGCCAAGGGTCTGGATGGTGCCCTAGCCCCCTGGGCATGAATGGGCAGTGATGTTGCTGGAATCCAAGGGCCCTACCTCTGTAAAGAAGGTCTCTAGTAGCTGTGCAACCCCGGGGACCTCAAGGGCCAAGGTCATACAGGGTGCTGAGGCAACTGCTTCTACTCTGGGCAGCAGTTCATGTTCCTCATAATGTGGGTGTTGACCTCTTCCTGCCAACCCATAGCCTGGGGAGACGCTGCAAACACCCCCTGCTCCAGTGGCTGCAGGCTCTCCCCTGAACACCTTGCATGGAAGAACGCATTTAATCCTCCTAAGTCCCCTAGAGGCAGCACTGTTATCTTGATTGTGCATATGAGGAAACTGAGGCACAGAGAGGTTCAGTGCCTCATCCAAGATCACACAGTGGTGGAGACGGGAGTAAAATCCTGGCTCTCTGATTCCACCGCCAGAGCTCTGAACACCAGACCTGTCGCCTCATATGTGAGACACACGGTCCAGAAGGCCTTGTGTAATTCAGAAAGCTGCATAATTTAAGGCAAATCCTGACAGAGGTTGGTAGGTGTTCCTGTTTATCCGCTAAAGTGGCATTGCCGTGTGGTGAGCATGCAAGCGTAGTTTACAATTCACTGCCAGCTTCAACATTCTTCATGCTTAAGAAAAATGTTTGAGATACACATTATTTCAGATTTTGCATATTAAGTGAGATTTTCTTAATCTCTTTATATCATAGTGTCAAATTCACATAATGCAAAATCTCATTGAACACAGGGACACCGTGCTGCCAAGGGACTTCGGTTCTAATCTGTTGAGGGAGGCTGGGCTGTGAGCTGCTCCTGGGAAGGCGTGTCCATATTCGTGCATGTCCCCATGCCTAGCACAGTGCCTGGCACCCAGCAGGCACTCAGCAGAGGGCTGCTGGATGAACACAGTCTAAGTTAAAGCAATGCAGTTCTGTTTGTTATGATTTCTATTTTTGGAGAGGAGCTACCTTTAAGGTTATACTTCTTAATAGTTTTGTTCATCCTGGATTTACCACCTTCTTCTTTTTCTCCCTTAAAAAAGGGAAATAGGGAATTCCCTGGTGGTCCAGTGGGTAGGACTCCTCACTTTCATTGCTGAGGGCGTGTGTTCGATCCCTCATTGGGGAACTAAGATCCCACAGGCTGTGCAGTGAGGCCAAAAATTTAAAAAATAATAAATAAATAAATAAATAAGGGGAAGAGACGTCGGTAACTGATAATGAAAAGGGGCAGGGATGGGGAAAAACTAAAGGATGTGCAATAGGGCAGGTGTGCCATCCTAAAGAACGGGCTTATATGTTCAGGGCATGGGTGTGGCTTATGTATCAGCCAGGGTATCTGCAGCAATGGAAACCAATTCTGGGCAGCTAACAAAAAGGGGATTTTATTTAAGTTTCATGGGGCCTCCCTGGATCCTAAGGAGGTGGACAGGCTAATCTTGGGGACAGCAGGAACCCAGTAGCTCCCTTGGAGTGGGAAGAGGACAGAGAGCCGCCCATTGCAGGCCAGCTGGGTCAGGATGCTCCACCAGAGGGGACCCTCCACCCTTGCCCCCAATACACACAGTTGGGGGCTTCCTAACAGGGAGGTTGGGCTAAAGGGAAGGGGATATGGGTGCTGGTGTACAAAGGAGACATGTGTCCACCACTTGCATCACCAAATAATCAGTCTGGAGGGGACCATGAAGGTCATCTGATCTCTCCTGTGTCATAGATGAGGGAATTGAGGTCTTGGCCTCACTTCCAGGTAGTGACAGAATCAGGACCAGACCCTCCTCTCCTGGGTGCTCTCCCCAGAGAGGGGGCAGAAATGTTTTAACACTATAAAGGGCCTTCAAAGCACCATCAGTCTTTATCATGATGGGTCAAAGGCCCTCCTGCCAATATGCCTTGATGGGTCCTCCCTCTGTCTCACCCCAGTTCTCTCTTAATCTAGAGAATGTAGTATCTGGGATAGCTCTGGAAGTGCAGGGACAGACTCCTGGTCAACACCTGGGGGCTGATGGATGGCACTGTCACACCTGACTGGGGGTTGGGATGTGGGACTGGGGATGCAGCCACAGTGGCCCCTAGCCAAGGCCACCCCTGCCATGTTTCCCAGTGAGCAAGAATTAAGATGGGAGGAAAGCCCCGAAGGAAAAATATATGAAGAGGAGGCATCTCAGAAATGTACAAACCCTGCCTTGGTGTGGGAGTGGCTTTCGGAGACATTTTTATGTCCCTTTGTAGGGCTACCTGCTGTGGATATATGAATCCAAGATAACTTTTACCTCCAGAAGGATACAGCCGCTGCCTGTTGCCAGTTCATTGGGCTTTATCCTGGGTGGGGATGGGGGAAGGGAAGGGAAGGGAACCATCTACCACGTGTCAGACCTCTCACTTAGGTAATCTCCTTTAATCTAGTATTTGTGCCAATCCTATGAGTCAGCTATGATGACCCCATATTATAGGTGAGGAAGCCAAGGCTTGGGCAAGTTAGGTGACCTGTGCAAGCCCCCAGCTGAGAAAAAGTGGGGCTCAGGGCTGGCCCAGTGACCCTAATTTACCTGGGCCTCAAGCAGGTATGTGTATTAGTCAGGGTTCTCCAGAGAAAGAGAACCAGTTGGGTGAAGATATATTTATTATGTATAGTAAGTGAATAAATAAATAATATGTTTGTTTGTTTATCTTTTTTGAGGAATTGGCTTATATAATTATGGAGGCTGAGGTCTGCAGATGGCAAGATGGGGACAGGAGAGCTACTGGTGCAGCTGAAGTCGGAGACCAAAAGCCTGAGAGCAAGGAGAACTGATGATGTAAGTTCCAGTCTGGGAGCTGCCAGGCTCGAGACCTAAAAAGAGCTGATGTTTTTGAGTCTGAAGGCTGGGAAAAACCAATGTCCCAGCTCAAGTGGTCAGGCAGGAGGAGTTCCCTCTTACTTAGTCTTTTTGTTCTATTCAAGCCTTCAACTGATTGGATGAGACCCACCCACATTAGGGAGGATCAATCTGCTTTACTCAGTCTACCAATTCAAATGTTAATCTCATCCAGAAACACCCTCACAGACACACCCAGAGTAATGTTGGATCAAAGGTCTGGGAGCGCCATGGCCCAGTCAAGTTGACCCACAAAATTAACCATCACGGTGTGGCTCCAGGGAAAGTTAGGGGAGGAGGTCTTGGATCCCATTTCATTCCCTCTCTGCAGAGAACTTATTTTGGGGGAGTGAGTCAGTGAGAGAGAAGGGGGCTCAACCCTTCTCTCTGCCCTTTTGGAGGAGGACACTTACCCATTCCCAGAAGACAGATAGACCAACCCCACAGGTGGAAGCCAAATAAACCCCAATGGACATTAGTTCCCATTAGGCTCCTGCCTGGGGCTGAGTCCTTACAGTCAGAAATATGAGCCAAGGCTCCTGGAGAGGAAGGAGTCAGCTGGGGACCCATCATTTCTTACCCTGGGACTGCACCAAGCCTGCAGCCCTTGTCTCCATCACCCTGGCAGTGTTGTCACAGGCCCAGTGCTTGGACTGGCAGCTGAGCCTGACTGGTTTCTGGGAAAGAGACTGCGTGCCTCCTACAGGCATTCTCTCCTCTTTCTCAATAAGAACCCAACACATGGCCACCCAGAACAAAGACTGCATTTCCCAGATTCCCTTGCAATGAGGTGTAGCCATGTTAGCAAGTTCTGGACAAGGGAATGGAAGCGGAAATGGTATGTGCAATTTCCAGGCCGTGTCCTTAAAGGGACGGGTCTTTAAGGACCTCTCTTCCCCTGTATTTCCTTTCTTGTGGGCTGCAGTGCAGATGTAGCACTGGGGCAGCCACGCTAGGCCCTGAGGTGGACTTAGGAGAGAGGCTGTGGAGCAACAAGGTAGATGGAACTTGAGTTTCTGACACTGAAAGCACCACAGCAATCCTGGACTCCTACCTGGAAAGTTTTAGCTAAACCCAATCCTGTTTTTGTAGGCCCTCCTTTGCTGTGTGACTGGGGCAGTGGCTCAGCCTCTCTGGGCCTCTGCTGGTTGTTGATAATGATAGCTGCCCATGGTGTGACCCTCCCATGCAGGGGGTCAAGGGTGAGCAGGCAAAGGAGATTTCAGCTCCAAGGAGACAGAGCGCGGGAAGGCCTGAGGCCTCAGTCCTTGTACCAAGGAGAGTTCAGCATTAGCTGTTTGGGAAGAAGATGGTGTAGTAATAGGAGAGGCAGCTTGGGAAGGGTCAACTCTTGGCTTTGCTACTTGCCAGTCAGGTGACCTTGGGCAAGCTGTTTCCTCTGAACCTCAATGTTCTTGTCTGTAAAATGAGGACAATGGTACCTCCTTCACAGCTTGTTCAAGGATCAGAGACAATGTTTGTAAAGGGCCTGTGTGAGGAGGTGAGCGGTAGCTGGAATTTTTATCATTGGTTTGAGGGTCCAGGGACCTAGATTTTTGTGTGTGCCTTTGTGATCGTGGGCAAGTCATGTTAACTTTCCAGACTTCAGTGGACTCAGATGTAAAATGGGGGGAGGTTCTTTCCGGTCCTGATATTCAATCCAGTCCTCCTTGCCCTCATTTTACAGATCATAAAACCAAGGCTTAAGTGGCAGAGACAGCTTGCTGTATACCCCCTCCACAGTGTGGGGAAGCAGCTGTCCCCACGGGATAGCACTTCCCAGTATGTTTCTCACAGATAGAATGTGACCCGAAGGGGTGTGTGCCACTTCTGGGCCCAGGCGGTTAAGGCATCCATCCTTTCTCTCCCACCTGCCAGCCACCCACCCTGGCCAGGGGGACCTTGGAAGCTGCCTGTTGAGGATGGCACAGCCTCCCTCAGCCTGGCCCAGTCAGTGATGGTGGGGGGCTTGGTCGGTGCACCCTCCTCTCCCCACTCCCAGTGCTGCTTTGGACTTTACATGAGCAAGAGGAACACTTCTCTGAGATTTCAGGCTTTACCTGTTGTGGTAGCTAGTGTTATCTTTTTTTTATTTTGGCTGTGCCACTCATCACGTGGGATCCTAGTTTCCCGACCAAGGATCGAATCCGTGCCCCCTGTAGTAGAAGCGTGGAGCCTTAACCACTGGGCCTCCAGGGAAGTCCCCAGTTAGTGTTATCTTAACGAACACACCCAAGAGGTAGAGTGACTTGCCCAGCACCTACGCCTCCTCCTTGATTCTTGGTGGCATCCTGTGTGACAGTCTAGTCTTTTCGATTAGTTTGCCAATTCCATGAGAGCCAGGACAATGGCTCACACTCCTCCAGGCTCGTGACACCCAGCACCAGTTGCCTCTCATCCACTCCACGTGGATGACCTGCAGGGACCAGGCACCTGCTAATAAAGACTTGTTGATTTGAACTGAGCGTTGATTTGAACTGGGCGCCTTGCCCGTATCCTACCATGCCGAGAACTGACCTCACAGATCAGCTCTCCCACATCTCTAGAGTCCCTGGGGTGTGAGCACCCCAAAACAATAGGCAAGGGAGCAGTAGATCTAAACTCTTGAAAGAGGGAAGGCTGAATAGGGCAGGAGCCAAGGCCAGGCAAGTCTGGGAAAGGCATATGTGAAACAGGGGCGATGATACTTTGTTGAGTTGAGGATGGAGATATGCACTGAGACTAGAGCACTGATCAGAGTACAGCTCTGCCCCCAACTTGTGTGTGACCTCACAGAAGTCCAAGGTCGCTGGAGTGTTGGTGACAGGAGCAGAGACTGCAACCCAGGCTCCTCGCTTCAGCCATGGATGGGCTCTTTCCGGACGGCTCCTTCTCTCTCTCTCTTCCCTTGAAGCCTGGACATCTCTGATCAGGATGCTAATGGAGGAGGGGGCTGAGGAAGTGAGGGAACTGCAGAGCAGGAGAAATACTGGGGACTGGGGAGCCAGTGGCTAATTAAAGCCTCCATGTCAAAGAGGAATGCCAAGTAGGTAATTTCCATGCCATTTGAATAATGGGAAAACAGTTACCATTTCTCAAGTTGGCTTGTTGAAAAGAGAGAGTGGGGAAAAGAAAGGAGGGGGAGAAGATCTTGGCTGGAGGGGCCTCTACATGCTGCTGGGGGAAGATGGGGGTGGCACGGAGAGCACAGTTGCTCCAGGGAGAGGGAGGGAGGCAGGGAACAGAGGAGGACAATTTTCTGCCTTTCTCTCAGAAGGTCCTATGAAGTTCCTTGAACTAGGAAGCTAGGGGAGAGGGCAGCCAGGCAGAGTGGTGGTGATGTCTTAGCAGAGTCAAGGGAAGCCCTCCTTATGGGTGCATTGCACTTCACAGTTTGCATCCTTTGTCCCACTGGATCACCACGACAGGCTGCGAAGTAAGCAGGGAAGGGAAGATGACGATTATTCCTATTTGAGAGGTGAGTAACTGAGCCCCAGAGAGCGGGAGTGAAGTGCTCAAGGACACGTTTGTTTATTTATTCATTCATTAATTCAACAAAACACTTTATTGGAGAAATACAACGTGCCAAGCCCAGTGCCATGTGATAAAGGCCTGTGGATAAGGAAGGCACAGCCTTGCTCTCAGAGAGAGAGAGAGAGAGAGATGGAGAGGTGAACTGTATATCACGAGGTGCTGTGAGTACCAGGGGCAGTTGCCTGAGACAGTTGGGTGCTTCCCAGAGGGGCAGCCATTACAGAGAGGTTTCAGGCAGGAGTTTGTCAGGTGACTAAAGGGAGGAGCCTATGCCTGCCTGAGGGAACAGCATATGCAAAGGTGTGGAGTCCCAGGAGGGCTCTTCTTGTCTAGGGAATAGAGAGAGGCCCAATGTGAGAGGACGGTAGGGATCGTGGGGTGGGGCAGGGGTGGGAGTTGTGGCTGGAGGGCTTGGTGGGAGGGGGATGAGACCACGGGCCAGGCCCCAGATTGTGGAGGGCCTGCACGCCTCATTAGGACATGTGGACTTGATCTTCAGGCCATGGGACTCCAGGGACCCTAGGGACCTTCAGGCCATGGCTGAGGAGGTACTGGTAGGACACAGATGGTCACAACTACTGCTGTCTCTTTGCTGGAAACCAGCCCTAATAACCCAGCCTCCCAGCCCAGGCCCCTGAGCTCCTTCAAGTCCTGGGACCTCATGAATAGAAAGCCAAGCCGTGGGGTGAAGGGTCCCTGCTGTTCTGGCCTGTTCCTTATTGTATCAGTTACATATCAATGCATAACAATTACCCCAAAACTCAGTGGCTTAAAAAGCAAACAAACATTGGGACTTCCCTGGCGGTCCAGTTGTTAAGATTCCATGCTTCCACTGCAGGGGCATGGGTTCCATCCCTGGTCGGGGAACTAAGATCCCACACAGGCGCGGCCAAAAAAAAAAGAAAATTTTTTAAAAATTATGTCTCACAGTTTCTCTGGGTTAGGTGTTTGGGAACAGCTTAGCTGAGAGCTTCTGGCCCCAAGTTTGTTAGAGTTAAGATGCTGGCCCAGGGCTGCAGCCATCTGAGGGCTTGACTGGAGCTGGAGAGTCTGCCCCCAGATGCCCCATTCCAAGACGGCTCATTCACATGCCTGGCCAGTTCATGCTGGCGTGGTTGGGAGGCCTCCGTTGCTCACCACGTGGACTTCTTAGAGAAGCAGGGCTGCTTGAGCATCCTCACAACGTGGTGGCTAGCTGGAAGTGGCAATGTCTTCAGTGACCTAGCCTCGAAGTCACACCAGGTCATTTTGTCATATCTGCTTCGTCACACAGCGTGGGAGGGGACTACATGAGGTGAGGATCTCAGGAGGCGAGGATCACTGGGGTCCATCTTGGAGGCCACACACCATACCATCCTCCAGGGAGGAGCCAGCAGCAGTCCTGTAGCAGGGCTAAGAAAGCAGGGCTTCCCTAGAGAAGGAGGGGA